GTTGAAAATAGCGTGGAGTTCATTATTAAACCTCTTTGATTATTAGTTTTTAATGAAAGCTGATGAATGCTTTTTTATATTAAATTTTTTGTGTTTATATAGCTGGCTTGCAGTAGCAAACAATTTCTCTTTCTGTTTGTCACTCACTTTTTTTTTTAATTATACGACTAAAATTGACAAATGATAGACTATCTTCGTATAAATTATCGAGAACTGAATTAAATCTAAACCCAAACGCTCGGTCGCACAGTGGTTCAAAACTGGAAGGTAATTTTTCAACCAGTTTGATTTTTTTTTTTTAATGAATGCTTATAAAATTAGGCCGATTTTTAAATTTTTTTAATATTTATATTAAACTTTTTCGAAGAAAATGGATTCTCCTGTTTCAGTTAATAAATGCCACATAATAAAAACTAGTTGAGAACAATTGTAGGGCTCCCCCACAACGAAAAAAAGTAAAAAGAAAATTTTTAAATGTTATAAAAAGAAATGCCACCAAAATTTAAGTTTTATTTTCGAGTTTTGGATATGCAATTTTACAGATCGTTAAATTTTAGTATAATAATACGAGTTACAACTGGCTAAGTGTGTTGATTTGTAAATATTTTTTTCGCTAACTTTTCGAGCAAATCTGCATGTTCTGGCGACGCTAAGGACCTACCGCTCTTGTGCGGCTCAAAGCCGGCTAGATTAACCTAACCTCACATCTGCATGTTGTGTAGTTTATATTCTTATTACATATATTATTAAAAATCAACGCGAACTGCTAGCCACTTGAAACTTGCACTTTATTTTACTAAAATTTCATAATCTATAAAACTACATACCCAAAATTTAAGAACAAAAAAAAAATTATTTTGGTGGAAGTAGTTTTTATAACATTTAAATTTTTTTTTTCGTTTTGGGTGAACCTAACAATTCTTTTCAACTAGTTTTTATTATATAACATTTATTATCTGGAGTAAAAGAATCGATTTTCTTCAAAAAATAACTACTTTTTTGGCATTTTGCACTAAAAAATGGAAATATATAATATATATAATAGGAAATTTAAATTAAAACTCAGGCTCAACTGATCTCTTGAAAATTTTATAAGCTTTCATTAAAAAAAAAAAAAAAAAAAATATTAAATTGAGTGAAAAATTAAGGCTTCAGTTAATTATGAATAGTAAATGCTAGTTTTGAGCAACTGTGGATCGTGCACCTCTTCAGATGTAAAATTTCAAAAAGTTTTCCCTCGGAAGCAATTTGCAGATTTAAATGGTATTACAAAATTTATTAGGAATAATTTTTACAATTCATTCATGTTGATAAAAAATTTTCAGAGTTGATTTTATTTAAAAACATCGAGCCAATTGTGAATCATTTTGTAGTTGAGCTCATTACTCATTTTATATATATCAAATAAGTATCTATACACACACACTTAAATATATGGAGGTGTTTTACTGAGGGTATATAATTATAAAAAAAAATTTTGCGCCCACACTGCATTTGAAGAAGCTTTTATATGGAGCCTAGTGATTAACTCAAACTTTTTTTTTCGTGGTTTGTAGCTAACTGCAATATTTGTTCAAAGCCATATTTATACAGGGTGTCCCATAAGTAACGTGCCAAACTTTAGGGGAAGGTGGGTGGGGGGGTGAGCTCCCTGATAAACAAAAAATTTTCAGGTAAAAGTGTCACCGTTTTTGAAATATTTACATTTTTTCGAATTTAAAAAAAATCGTGCCTTTTCATGTGTTTTCTTTAACTGCAACTACAAACCGGGCAATACTTAGTAAATTTTTTATGTAAAATACTTCCAGATAGTTGCCTCTCCATACTCAAATGCAATGTAGTTAAAATAAATTAAGGAACCATCATAAAATTAGGACTATTTCTGGATTTTTAACTTTTTGATATTTTCTTCCCCAACTTTGACTATCTCGGGTGAAAAAAAA